AGTCAATTATATTAAGTAGTATATTAGAAGTATATAGATAATATAAGTATGCTATTATATATATAGAATTGATAATCATAGCTATAAATTTCCCTATATGGGGCCAAATCATTTTCACATAATAATCTAAAAATTTGATGATCACTATCAATAGTGAGGGTTTCCTCAGTGGTTTTAACCACTTGTTTGAGGCCAAGTTTCTCAAACGTTTCCATCTGATATATAATCCTGGGAGGTATCTTAGGAATAATCCACTTATTAAGTAGATATAGATGTTGAGGTATATCATATTCTTCTTTCCTACTGATTTTAACAGTAGATCTTCTCTTTATGATATTCATAAGTAAAGTTGTGTTGAACTATACCACCTATATCTACTAAAAGTCCATGGCTCTGATACCAAAATTTCAACGGATCGTCCAGTTTTACTCAAGGTGCCTTTACAAGTATAAATAATCCTGGCAAGATAAATGAAAGATTCTACTATCCGGGTCCGCCCTAACGCCCTCTTGGCTAACGGGTAATCCAACAGACTTATTCGACAGCCTTTCAAAAATCTACCAGGATCATTTTAACTTAACCTTAGTATAACTGTCTAATATGTTTCAATAGTAGACATAATTGCCATCTTTTAAAGTAACTTAGTATGTTATAGTTCAACACAAATAGTCTAGCCTATCATTTATCCTGAGCACATAAAGAAAACTCACAATTAAATAGTCTAGCACTAAAATATAATTACTGGGACTGTATGGATAGCTTTAATAAAGCTTTATTATATGAAAATGCTAATAAAAAAAATTATTGGTTCATCAAAATATGCACTCATGTTTTTAACAGACCTATTCCAAATTGGTCCCTCAGTAAAAAAATTATGTGGTCCATCAGTAAAAAATTTACCAGAACCTTACAAAAGATTATATTCTGAATGGGTGGATATCTCCCCTAAACTCATAATTTTAGAAAAAGATAATTTATTATTTGAAGGAATGTCCTTGATGTACTTTTTTTTATAGAATTCTCAATCCCTTGGATCATGAAATGGTCAATAGAGGTTAATAGTACCCCTGAAGGATCTTCATGTTTACAGAGAACTTTTTATACAAAGTTTTGATATAAATTAATACAAAAAGACGTTGAAGGAAAAATCCATTGTGAAGAAATTATAGATTTAATAAATACAACGATGCACAAATACCAAAATACAGAAAGATCAAAACCACAGGTGGATGATCTTAGTCCATACAAACAGATTGCAAGAAAGCTTCAAATGAGGAAAGGAGTGATATCCAAATAAGAAGCAATAGCTATATACATGGAGGAAGTAAAAAGAAATTTAATGAAAAATCTCGACATAGATATAAGGGATGATATATCCATGACATCTGCTAGCCACACCAATGATCATGAAAAATCATGCATGACAAGAGAAGCACAAAGTGCTAATAGGTCTTTTAAAAACATGAGAGCATATTTTTATAAACCAAGAATGTTTTTTAATAGCATTTTCATATAATAAAGCTTTATTAAAGCTATCCATATAGTCCCAGTAATTATATTTTACAGCTAAACTATTTAATTTTGAGTTTTCTTTATGTGCTCAGCCTAAATGATAGGCTAGACTATTTGTGTTGAACTATAACATACTAAGTTACTATAAGAAATGACAATTATGTCTATTGTTGAAACATATTGGATAGTTATACTAAGGTTAAGTTAAAATGATCCAGGCAGATTTTTGAAAGGCTGTCGAATAAGTCCGTTGGATTACCCGTTAGCCATGAGAGCGTTAGGGTGGACCCAAATAATAGATGCTTTCATTAATCTTGCCAGGATTATTTATACTTGTAAAGGCACCTTGAGTAAAACTAGACGATCAATCTCCAAAGACTCCAAATACTAGTGTCCAACCTCCCAGAGATCAAAGATTAAGTTAAAAGATTTTTCGGACCTGGAAAATCTCTTAGAAAGGAAATTCAAAGGTTGTAGTCAGAAGCCTTTGGGTGTTGATGATTTTTCAGGAGTAGAAAGAAATTATAAAAAAGAGTTTTCTAGGGAAATTAATAAAATCTAAAAAAATTATGCGAGAAAACCTATCCAAAGGATGTACTATTTTCCTAGACCTACTCCTCAGGATGTGCTCTTAGAAGAGCACGAACACATTATAACTAATAGTTATAATGGAAAGGAAATCTATGAATGGTACATAGATGGTTATACATATAGACAAATTTATACAACTGTACATAGAATGCTTATGTACAACACTATCTATAAGGCAAACAAGAATAGTGACAAAACTATTGCTGATGTGATAACGACAAAATTTACTAGTCAGCTAAAAGGCTGGTGGGATAATTATCTTAATACTGAACAAAGAGATAAGATTCTTCAAGCTATAAAGCAAGAAGGAGAGCAACATCTGACAAAGAATATTGTGTATACCCTTGTTCTTAATATCATAGAACATTTCTCAGGAAGATGGTCTGATAATACCGAGACCATAAGAACCATGCTCCAGAATCTGAGGTGTAAGACCCTCACATCTTTCAGATTTTATAAAGATGTATTTCTTAGCAGAGTTATGGAGTTGCCAGAGTGTAATAACTGTCATTGGAATTCCAAGTTTATAGATGGTTTACCAGCCCTATTTGCTGAAAGAGTTAGAAAAACTAACTCTTAGGGGAGATAGTCTTAGTATTAACTATGACAATTACACCTATGGAAAACTCATAAGTTCTTGCATACAAGAAGGACTTTCTTTATGCAATGAAATCAAGCTATCAACAAGTTAAAAGGCATCGTCTTAAATAAAGACAGCAGTTAAGAGAATTCTGTGAACAATTCTCTTTATATATCCCTAAAGCAAGCTCCAAATATATGAAGCATTCTTCAAAGAACAAATCTTCCAAAAAGGATTATAAAGTATGGAAGAAAACAAGAATTGAGAAGAAAGAAAGAAGAGCCGAACATTATAGAGAAAATAAGAGATTTAATAAATCTAGACAAAAATTTAACAATTCAGATACTTGCCACAAGTGTGGTAGATTTGGTCATTACGCTAGAGATTGAAGAGTCAAGGAGAAAATCAAAAATCTGACATAGATGATAATATCAAAGACTCTTTATGCAAAATCATGCTAAATTCTGATTCAGGAAAATCAAAAACAGAATACAGCAGCCATGAGGAATCCTCTACAAGTGAAGATCTAAAAGCCCTTCACCAAGAAGATTATATGTCATCAGATAATGATTGCTTTCCTTGTCAACAAGGATTAAGTTGTGAAAATGAGGGGGAAGAAGATGATCTTTGTAAGATCTATTCCCTGTTCAAGGAATTAAGCATCAATGTCACTGATAATGATAAAGTCATAGAGCTCTAGTTACAGATTGTTAAAGATCCGGATATAAAAGCTCAAATTATTGATCAAATCAGTAATACTTTCACTTCTCAAAATCATATCATAGAAGATGTCCCTACCAGAGAAGGTTCATACACCATGACTGAAGTAAAAAATCTCCTATTAGAAAGAAGGAAACTTATAAGTTCTCCTCCTACAATCAGTGATCTAAAGCAAGAGATTAAAATCTCAAAAATGATATTCATCGTTTAAACGAAAAGAATGTCATTATAGTGACAAGACTTGATAATATCGAAAGTCTTAAGGATCTGGGTAATAGCTCAGAATCATCTTCTTATGAAGAAGATAGTAAATATCTTGACATTCTTAAAACCCTTAATTTCGGTAATAATAAAGAAGATTTTTTTCAAAGCTTGAAAGTTATCACTTTCCAAAAGTTTTATACTAAGATTACTCTTCTTATAGATTATAATTACAAAAAAGAATTTACTTCTCTAATAGAGAGTGTTGCTGATTTAAATTTCATTCAAGAGGGACTTATTCCTTCAAGATATTTTCATAAAACAACCCATAGCCTCAGATCGACAAATGTTAGTAAAATGGGATTGAATATAAATTTCCCAAAGCTTTCATATGCAAAGGAAAAAAATTGTATTCCTCAAAGTTGTCTTAGTAAAAGATATTAGTAACCAAATTATTTTGGGAGTTCCTTTTATAAATGATATTTTTCCCCTTACGTTTTGGGATAATAAAAAAATCATTGTAACTTAAAATGAAAAACCTTTTACATTCGAGTTTATTACAAAACCTTTTACAAGAATGATTAATGAATTATCTTCAAAATTGGTTTTAAAAAATAATCAAGTCAATTTTATAAAAGGAGAAATTAATAGCATTGAAATTGATTATATTCTTCAAAATCCTAAATTACACAATTAGATTGTTATTTTAAAGATTCATTTCTCCATTTATATTTGTGGAGATCATCCAAATTCTTTCTGGAATAGAAAAAAGCATGTTATTAGCCTTTTATATGAGGATAATTTTACAAAGGATAATATTTCTACTAAAGCAAGACCTTGCCAGATGAATTCTAATTATCTGGAATTATGCAAAATAGAAATTGACTCCTTGCTTCAAAAAGGCCTTATAAGGCATTCTAAATCTCCGTGGTCTTGTACAACCTTTTATGTTAATAAACATGCTGAACAAGAAAGAGGTGCGCCCAAGTTGATTATTAATTATAAACCTCTTAATAAAGCTTTAAAATGGATTAGGTACCCTATCCCCAATAAGAAAGATTTATTGGATAGAGTTTATGATGTCATTATATTTTTCAAATTTGATTTAAAATTGGGTTATTGGTAGATTAAGATAGCTGAGTCAGACAAATATAAAACAACTTTTAATGTCCCTTTGGGACAGTATGAATGGAACGTTATGCCATTTGGCTTAAAAAATGCTCCTTTTGAATTCCAAAAGATTATGAATGATATTTTCATGCCTTACAGTAATTTCATAATAGTTTATATAGATGATATTCTTGTATTTTCCAAAAATGTGAAAGCTCATTTTAAACACCTTGATCTATTTAAACAAATTATTATCCAAAACAGCTTAATAATATCTAGCCCTAAAATGGCTTTGTTTCAAACAAATGTTAGATTTTTGGGTCATAATATTGAAAGAGGTAACATTAGCCCTATTAATAGAAGTATTGAATTTGCGTCCAAATTCCCTGATATTCTGACTAATAAAACTCAGTTACAGAGATTTCTTGGAAGTTTTAACTATGTTGCTCCTTTTATAAAGGATTTAGCCAAGGATACTGCTATTGTTTATGAGAGGCTAAAAACTAATCCTAAAGCTTGGTCTTATAAACATATTGAAGCGGTTAAAAAGATTAAAACAAAGGTTAAAACCTTCTGTGTCTTACTTTGGCCAACCCAAATTGAAAAAACAACGGTTGAGACAGATGCTTCTGACATAGGATATAGAGGTATCCTGACTCAATATTGTCCGGATAATAAAGGCCATTCTATTATTCAATTTTGTTCTGGCAAATGGAACGATGCTCAGAAAAATTACGTCACAATAGCAAAAGAAATTCTGGAAATAGTTAAAAGTGTTTTGAAGTTCCAAGGTGATCTTTAAAACCAAAAGTTTTTAATAAAAATTGACTGCCAGGCAGCTAAATTCATGTTTAATAAAGATTGTAAGCATGATGTTTCAAAACAAATGTTTGCAAGATGGAAAGCTTTATTAGCTCCATTTGATTTCGATATCCATTATAAAAATGGTTCAGATAATAATTTGCCTGATTTTCTTACAAGAGAATATTTAAACAAATCTTTTTTCATCTTAATGACAGGATGAGACCTTCATGGCCTCTGCCCTCAAGGAGTGGAAGAGGAAAAGCAGGAACAGGAAGAGGTAATATCCTCGCTCAAGTGGGAAACCAAAAAATGATTGCAACAAATATTGCTTCTACAAGTGGGCTTAATACAGAACATCCAATGTACAAGGAATTTTTGGATTTTATGCAATCCAAACAAGGAAAGGATACTATTCCTCAATCATATTCCACAATTCTCACAAATGAAGAGAACATAGAAATATTTGATCAAAATGATAAAAAAGAAGTTATACTTCTTCTGGAACAAAGTGATTTGCGATGGAAAAATGACCCATGGCAAATAATGAACATGTATCTGGATTCCATTTCTTATACCACACCTACTTATAAATACAGGATGCATTATGAGATGATACTCTCAGCAGCAGGGTCTGGTGAATTCCAACTTTTTTACCTGGGCAATAATAAAAAAGTTTATAACTTTTCAAAAATCATTATAACAAGAGTTATGGTTCCAGAAGAATGGGGAATGAGCCCATTAAAAGAAAGGGATTATATCCATCCAAAGCGAAAAGTAGCAGTAAAATATAATTACTGGGACTATATGAATAGCTTTAATAAAGCTTTGTTATATGAAAATGCTAATAAAACACATTCTTGGTTTATAAAAATATGCTCTCATGTTTTTAATAGACCTATTCCAAATTGGTTTTTTCAATGGTGGACTTTATATGGTCCCTCAGTAAAACTTTTATCAGAACCTTACAAAATAATATATTCAGAATGGGTGGATATCTCCCCTAAACTCATAAGTTTAGAAAAAGATAATATATTATTTGAAGTAATGTCCTTAATGTACCTTTTTTTTTATAGAATTCTCAATCCCTTTGATCATGAAATGGTCTGTAGAGGTTAATAGTACCCTTGAAGGATTTCCATGTTTACAGAGAACTTTTAATACAAAGTTTTGAAAAAATTAATACTAAAAGACCTTGAAGGAAAAATTCATGGTCAAGAAATTATAGATTTAATAAATACAACGACAGACAAATATGAAAATACAGAAAGATCAAAACCACAGGAGGATGATCTTAGTCCATTCAAACAGATTGCAAGAAAGCATCAGATGAAGAAAGGAGTGATATCCAACTCAGAAGCAATAGCTATATACATGGAGGAAGTAGAAAGAGATTTAATGAAAAATCTCGACATAGATATAAGGGATGATATATCCATGGCATCTGCTAGCCACACCAATGATGATGAAGAATCATGCATGGCAGGAGAAGCACAAAGTGCTAATAGTAACGAAGAGATTGACATCGATACTCTTCTCCAAAGACTCCAACACCAAGTGGAAGAATCTTCCAGCAACACCGCCTGCAAAGGAAAAGGAAGGGTGTAAGATAAAGAAGGCCTGACAAATTAAATAATTGGGATAATATGTCAAAAAATTTAATAAAGTTGTCCATGATAATAAGTGTTGGCCACATTTTCTAGTGGAAAAACCATGTTTGTTTGTCGGTCTTATTGTTTTCTTATTGGCCATTATAAGGTGTGTTGGCCATCTTATCTTATCACTTTAAATTTCTCGACCTCTATATAAGGAGGCGAGATTTTCTTTAGTGAGGCAGGTCTTAGAACCACCCTCTCTCTCTAGTCTTGTACTATCTTCTTCTTTATATTTTTGAGTTTAATAATAAAAGCTTTCAGTTGGTGTGTACTTCAAGAATTATCATGAGTGGAGTCCGACTCTGGGTATTAATTTAATTTTGAGTTTTCTTTATATATTCAGCCTAAATGATAGGATAGACTATTTGTGTTGAACTATAACATACTAAGTTACTATAAGAAATGGCAATTATGTCTATTGTTGAAACATATTGGATAGTTATAATAAGGTTAAGTTCAGATGATCCAGACAGATTTTTGAAAGGGAGTCGAATAAGTCTGTTGGATTACTCGTTAGCCAGGAGGGCATTAGGGCGGACCCGAACAGTAGAAGTTTTCATTAAACTTGACAAGATTATTTATACTTGTAAAGGCACCTTGAGTAAAACTGGACGATCCTTTGAAATTTTTGTGTCAGAGCCATGGAATTTTAGTAATTATAGGTGGTATAATTCAACACAACTTTACTTATGAATATCATAAAGAGAAGATCTAGTGCTAAAAACAGTTGGAAAGAAAAATTTGATATACCTCAACATCTATATCTACTTAATAAGTGGACTATCACTAAGATACCTTCCAGGATTATATATCATATGGGCACGTTTGAGAAACTTGGCCTCAAACAAGTGGTTAAAACCACTGAGGAAATCCTCACTATTGATAGTGATCATCAAAATTTTAGATTATTATCTGAAAATGATCTTTCCCCTTATAGGAAAATTTATAGATTCATGCATATTGGTTTTGTTCAGGTGGCATTTAATTCCTTACCTTAAGAGGACTACCAGAAAACTTTATAGCAGATTTAAGAGATGGTAGAAAATCAATCATTCTACACATAGCAAAGTATGTAAGCATTTTTAATAAATTCTGTAGCATATACAAACAACTTCAGTTCCAGGCATATAATCATAACCATGAAGTTTGACATTAAGCATTAGAGAACTTCATGAATTTTCATCCTGTAAAGAGATCTGTAAATTAGGATAAACATTAAAATATACTGGTCCATAAGCCAGACTAGTATGTATTGTCCCTATAAGGGATTTCTTCCAATTTTGGTTTCTACCATCTCTTAAAGCTACTATAAAGCTTTCTGGTAGTCCTCTTAAGGTAAGGGGCTTAAATGCCACCTGAACCAAACCAATATACATGAATCTATAAATTTCCCTATAAGGGGCAAGATCATTTTCAGATAATAATCTAAAAGTTTGATGATCACTATCAATAGTGAGGGTTTCCTCAGTGGTTTTAACCACTTGTTTGAGGCCAAGTTTCTCAAACGTTCCCATCTGGTATATAACCCTGGGAGGTATCTTAGGAATAGTCCACTTATTAAGTATATCTAGATGTTGAGGTATATCATATTCTTCTTTCCTACTGTTTTTAACAGTAGATCTTCTCTTTATGATATTCATAAGTAAAGTTGTGTTGAACTATACCACCTATAGCTACTAAAATTCCATTGCTCTGATACCAAAATTTCAACGGATCGTCCAGTTTTACTCAAGGTGCCTTTACAAGTATAAATAATCCTGGCAAGATTAATGAAAGCTTGTATTATCCGGGTCTGCCCTAACCCTCTCCTGGCTAACGGGTAATCCAACGGACTTATTCGACAGCCTTTCAAAAATTTGCCTGGATCATCTTAACTTAACCTTAGTATAACTGTCCAATATGTTTCAACAATAGACATAATTGCCATTTCTTATAGTAAGTTAGTATGTTTTACTTCAACAAAAATAGTCTAGTCTATCATTTAGGCTGAGCACATAAAGAAAACTCAAAATTAAATTAATACTTGGAGTAGGACTCCACTCAGGATAATTCTTGAAGTACTCACCAACTAAAAGCTTTTATTATTAAACTCAGAAATATACAGAAGAAGATAGTACAAGACTAGAGAGAGAGGGGGGGGGGGGTTCTAAGACCTGCCTCACTAAATAAAATCTCGCCTCCTTATATAGAGGTTGGGAAATCTGAAATGATAGGATAAGATGGCCTACACACCTTACAATGGCCAATAAGAAAAGGATAAGACCGACAAACAAATGTGGTCTTTCCACTAGAAAATGTGGCCGACACTTATTATCATGGCCTACTTTATTAAAGTTTTTGACTTATTACCCCAATTATTTAATTTTTGGGGCCTTCTTTATCTTACACCCTTCCGTTTCCTTTGCAGGCGGTATTGCTGGAAGATTCTTCCACTTGGTCTTGGAGTCTTTAGAGAAGAGTATCGATGTCAATCTCTTCGTTGCTATTAGCACTTTGTACTTCTCCTTCCATGCATGATTCTTCATCATCATTGGTGTGGCTAGCAGATGCCATGGATATATCATACCTTATATCTATGTCGAGATTTTTCATTAAATCACTTTTTACTTACTCCATGTATATAGCTATTGCTTCTGATTTGAATATCACTCCTTTCTTCATCTGATGCTTTCTTGCAATCTGTTTGAATGGACTAAGATCATCCTCCTGTGGTTATGATATTTCTGTATTTTGGTATTTGTCCATCGTTTTATTAATTAAATCTATAATTTCTTGACCATGGATATTTCCTTCAAGGTAGTTTTTTATTAATTTGTTCGAAAACTTTGTATAAAAATTTCTCTGTAAACATGGAAATCCTTCAGGGATACTATTAACCTCTATAGACCATTTCATGATCCAAAGGATTGAGAATTCTATAAAAAAAAAGTACATTAAGGACATTCCTTCAAACAATATATTATCTTTTTCTAAACTTATGAGTTTAGGGGAGATATCCACCCATTTAGAATATAATCTTTTGTAAGGTTCTGGTAATTTTTTACTGGGGGACCATATAAAGTTCACCATTGACAAAATCAGTTTGGAATATGTTGGTTAAAAACATGGGAGCATATTTTTATAAACCAAGAATGTTTTTTAATTATTAGCATTTTCATATAATAAAGCTTTATTAAAGTTATCCATATAGTCCCAGTAATTATATTTTACTGCTACTTTTTGCTCTGAATGGATATAATCCCTTTCTTTTAATAGGCTCATTCCCCATTCTTCTGGAGCCATAATTCTTTTTATAATGATTTTTGAAAAGTTATAAACTTTTTTAGTATTGGCCTGGTAAAAATAC